GGTAATGAAAGAATGAACCACTGGTAATGCACAGTTGAAAGTCTATCAGAAAACAAAACTTGCAATTATGATCCTGAGGCAATTGAGAATGATCTAAATTGGCATATAAGGGGACTTAATGGCACAAACTGACAATCCGAACATGATGCAAGTAGCATTTTTCATCTAGGTAGGGAGTTGAGATCTTAAAGTCCTATTGATGAGATTATAACAGATTGTTAATGGATACAGTAGACTGCAATTTCCTGGCCAGGTCCACAATTTACAAAAGTAATATCGCACACCAGGCACAGAAGGCTGGATTTTTGCAAAGTCGAGCTGACACCAGAGACCTTTACAAATGAAAAGGAGAATCTAGATGTGGAAGCTCACCCTCATTTCCAACTGATCTCATTTTTGTTTTCAGGGAGAAGAGGACAGGGCATGGTGTCATTCACACAGTCGAAAGGCTGCCAGGGTCACTTGAAATTAGTGTTGAGTTCAAACAGACTTCATTTTCACTGTTCCATAGGCCTGAACCCACAGTGTCAAAGTCACAAATTTGTGGAGTGGAATCAACTTATCTCTAGAATGTCCAATAAAGGGTCTTTATATCTTATCATTTTAATTATTTACATGATTGGCTCTTTAAAGGTAAAAGAAAAACAAGGTGAAGCTGTCAGAGTTTAAAAAGCAACAACAGCCCTGGACTGCTTTGATTAACAGGCTATCTGATGTAGATTTGTAATAAGGAAACATTACCATCTGTTTCTGATGTTTCAATTGAGTTCAGCTTTACATTTCCCAAGGGGTGTTTTTTTTTGCAGAAGTCATTAAGAATGCTTGGCTCTGTTTCAAAAGCTTCAGAAGCATTTCAAAGCGTAAATGTGATCATGGTTTTGGAGGTGTGTGGGGGAGATTGGGGACAGAGTTCACATTTTGACTTATAGTTCAAAAAGGCAATTTTAGAAATTGCTGTCTTTGCTGTGGTTACTGTTGAGAAAATTGTTTTTTTTATAACAAATTGAATGCAAGAGGATTTAGAATTTTTGAATAGGTTTCATTAATGAGAGTTATTTTTCTGCATCATACATATGATTGAGCAGTCTACATTGTTAGAAGTTGTTTTTTCCTATTGTGATATGGTTTCCAAAGCCTATGTCTTATAGATGCTGGGTGAATGCCTGTCATCTTGGTAGTGTAACATGGCATGGGGATGCACTGATAAAGAGAAGGCCTGGGGAATAAGTGAGGGGCTGTGAGGTATGAGGGCTCAGATGGCCAACAGTTTCTAAAATAACTGAAGTACCAGAAAATTAACGTTGGCTTCAAACCAGCCCACCTCAGCACTCTCCTACCCTGTGGCCATCTATAATTGACATCTCAGTTTGGCTGCATAAAAATCTATCCACTGCACCTCCTTGGAGCAAAAATTGGACATTATGGGGCCCTTTAAATTGAGGAGATCTGTCAAGCTGGGAAATTTCCTGTTTGGAGCTACCTGCATCAGTAATGAAAATACAATCCACTACATCTATAGTGCCTCCAACCCATCACATGGGCTAATGCAAGAAATGCAACAATAATAAATGTGAGATGCCCAAATCTGAATACATGAATATGAAATAACGTTGAAGCTGTATGTTGAATTAGTTTTATAAATACTACTTCAAATCTACACGACAATTAAGGCATTGTGAAACTGGAAGACACAGAAAATTAACCAACATTGATAGTAAAGCAGGCATGGTGGCACAGTGGCACAGTGGTTAGCACTGCTGCCTCACAGCGCCAGAGACCCGGGTTCGATTCCAGCCTCGGGTGACTGTCTGTCTGGAGTTTGCACATTCTCCCCGTGTCTGTGTGGGTTTCCTCCGCTTTCCTCCCACAGTCCAAAGATGTGCAGGTTAGGTAGATTGGCCATGCTAAATTGCCCATGGTGGTCAGGGAGGTAGAGGGTGTATATTAGGTGGGTCATAGAGGGATGGGTCTGGGTGGGATGCTCTGAGGTTCGGTGTGGACTTGTTGGGCCGAAGGGCCTGTTTCCACACTGTAGGGATTCTATGAATATTCAGGAATTGTACAAAATTGAATGTAGGGAAAATAATGACCAGAAAATCTGCTGCTATGATATTAATTGAGAGATAAATACAGGCCAACAACACAGGGAAGAATTAACTTGCTCGTCTTCAAAACAGTGCACCATGGGAACTTTCACTTCCACTAAGTGGGTGCACATCAGTTTAACAATACATTGGAAAGATGGCAGGTTTAACAATGCTGCAAACCCCAAGAATTGCGCTGGACTGTCAGCTTGGATAATATGCTCATGTTTCTGGAGTAGGACTTGAACCCACAACTTCTAATTCACAGGCACAAAACACTATCCACTGAGGAGTAACACAACAATGATTAATGCATTAAAAACTGACAGAATTAATACCATAAGCCACATCATTGCAATGCAGTCATTTAGTTAACAACTGCATAATGTTACATGATATCCACTCTGTAGTGTATTATAACTTCCAACCATGCATTCAATACGCACAGTGGTCCTATTTGCAAACGAAAGTAGCCTACAATGGTTAGCAGTATCTGTAGATTGGTTATGCTCAGTAACTAACTCTATTTTAAGGAAATCATCATAGGGATCACAGGATAGACCACTGAGGATCTGGTCAGTGCCTAAACTGAAAAAGGTAGGCAAGTTCCATTATGTTTGGTTATTTAAAATCCAGCTAAATATCTGATTTTCAGATATGCTGAATTCTTCAGCATTTGCAGTTTCTATTTCAGCATGGAACATGGTTAATCATGAGTAAAGCAGGTGTATTTAATTCTCCCAAAAGTGGTTGATGGTTACTAGATGGAGGTCCAACAGATAGATAGCAAATAATACAATTATGTTCCTCTGTGATTCTAATCTCACCAAGCTGGCTATAAAATATAAAGTGCTGTAAAAGCAAGAAATGTGTACATTCTTGTCTCTTGCCTCCTTGCAAAACACTGTGGATGCTGAGTAGGGTATAGTTGGTAAGTTTACCATTCTATTCCACACTGGAAACAATACTGCTATGGGTAGAAAGAAACTTTCCTAACAGCTGCATGGAAATCCCCAAATACAGTGGGATCATCTCTCATAAATGTTGTTGCTGCAATTTGTGTCCACAAGGTTACCTTCAGCACATGAACAGCTACAATTCACACAACCATGCTGAAGGGATTAATTTTATGTAAATTTAATAACTTTAATTTTATATAAATTTGATGGTCTTTTCTCACATCAATCAATGGATACCTGGGGGATTTGGAGTCCAAATGCCAAAGGCCATCTATCTGCACATGTTTAGATGGGTAATTTGAGTTATGTTTGGTACTTTAGCATCAAGGGCCTGTAGACCCTGAAAGTATATAGCAAGATATTCCTGCAACAAATGTATTTGAGTTAGTTTCAGAGGTATTCAAAACCATGAGGGGCATGGAAAGCATGAGTAACCAAGGTTTTTTCCCGAGGGTAGAGGAGTCCAAAACTAGACGGCAAAGGTTTAAGGTAAGAGGGGAAAGATTTAAAAGGGACCTAAGGGGCAACATTTTCACGCAGAGAATGTGCGCCCATGGAATGAGCTACCAGAGGAAGTGTGTGTGCTTCTACAATTATAACATTTAAAAGGCATCTGGATGGGTATATGAATAGGAAGGGTTTAGAGAGTTAAGGACCAAGTTGCTGGCATATAGGATTAGATTAATTTAGGATATCTGGTCAGCATGGACAAGTTGGACCGAAAAATCTGTTTCTGTTCTGTACACCTCCATTCCCAACATCTGCATGGAAATCCCCAAGTACTGTGGGATCATCTCTCATGAAAGTTGTTGCTGCAAGTTGGGCCCATAAGATTACCTTCAGTACACGAGCAGCTACAATTCACATAACCATGTTGAAGGGATTAATTTTATATAAATTTTATAAAATTAGTTTTATATAAATTTGATGGTCTATTCTTACATCGATTAATGGATACCTGGGAGACCTAGACTCCAAATAGTAAAACCTACCTAGTAGCACGGGTTTAGATGGGTAATTTTAGTTATTTTCAGGCCTTTAGGATCTTGGGCCTCTAGACCAGTGGACATCCCTGAAAATATGCAGCAGTTAGTTTCAATGAGGTATTCAAAGAAGATTGTCCAAAGATACCTCACATTAGGTCACCCTCTAGTACATGAGACCAATCTCGGTGCATATGAAATACAAAGACAGAGCAAAATGGCACACTATCCCTTTGCACATATATGGTAATATAATTAAAAAGCAAAGTGCTTTCAAGATTGCAAGCAGAACCTTGGGATGACAAGGCTGATTTAAAATTAAGGCATCAGAAAGATTGTATGTGATCATATTTTACCCCCTTTTGCTTATTAGCCAAAAGTTATCGAATACAGGTCCATTAATGGAAAATGAGTACAGCTAATGAAGCTTTGTAGTATGAGATGCCACATGTTTGTTAAGAAAAGCTATAGTGCTGCATCCAGATAAATGCATTTGCATTGTGAAACAGGCCACCCGCAATCTCTTTAATTCACCAGTGAACTGCAAAGCTTGATAATCAAGTATCAGCTGAAAAAGAATTTGCTAGATTTAACAATAAGTACATTGGTATTGCACTGTGGATTGTGGCTAGATTGCAGGCTTAATCCTATGAGATGGCTTGGGTGATGCTCGTATTTCCGCTAAGCTTGACAAGCAGTAATTTTCAACAGGTGCCAATAACTGGCTTCTATACAGTGGTGACATGGCAATATAAAGTTACGATGCCCTTGAACCTCCCAAGACATTTGCTCCTGCACTTCCTCCATTATGTTATCTGCGTCACACTTTATGCAAACTCCATGTCGTAGTGTGCACAGAAACACTCCTGATTCATTTATGCTTTATGACAACTCCTGCTGAATCTTATCCAATACTCAGCTATTTTAGCACCAGTTCTTATAATTAAAAGGTTAAACATGAAATCTAATATGAATATTTTTGCACAAGCCACTTTAGTTGTGCCTTAGTAAGCCCTTGGAAGTGAAAAGTCTTGAGCCCTAATCTGTGCATTAACATGAGATAACAAATCAGTCACATTAGTGAAAGGAAGAAATGAGTGGATATTTTGAAAGCACTAACGCATCAAATAACTTATGCATTAGTGCTCACACAGTGAAGGCACTACTCTAATGCCCAGAGGAATTTTTGCCCCAATGTCTTTCCTTCTCTGATTATAACTTCTTGATTCATTATAAACTACCATCCGAGGAGAAGTTTCGAAAACACCGTATTTTCTTGATTGTCTCCTTTTTGCTTGACCCCTTCTTCTGAAGCTGTAAACAAAAACATTAAATTAGCACAAAGCTGAATTGCTTCGACAAAAACATATGAACACAAAGATATCAAAGTTCCTTCAACACCTTTCTATATAACATACAAGATTACAGCAATGAGCTAACGCAGGGCACAATTCACTGTAGGTATGCAGACTGAAGTATATCAAAGGAGGGGTTATTTTAACTCTGTGCAATAGCATAAAATCAGCCAATATTGATCAGCCGTCCTTTACACATTTCTCTTGTTTTCCATTTCCAATTTCAATTCATTGAGAGGTGTATAATTGGAAGGTTCCCCACTCCATAGTATTTGCATGTTCAATATTATCATTTATAGCAACTAGAGCAATATTTTTCCTTGAGCACAAGAGCTGTCAGAACAGATAAAAATGGACCATCCTGAATTATGAATTCTGTTTCTCTCAGACTGTGCCAGATTTACTGGGTATTTCCACTATTTTCTGCTTTCATTCTTATCTATTAATGATTGCTGTGCCAGAATAGCTTAAAATGCTATACATGGACTTCAGATGCCCAGGTTAAAATTTCTTGTTTCCCACTGATACCTGCAAGAGATAATTTTCTAACTCTTTCTAATATTCATGACAAAGGAGAATAAAATACATTTGAAAATAAAGCATTCCAATAAAGAATTCCAAAAGGTTAGAAATTAGCTGAGCTTCTTTTTTGTCTGACAGCTACATCTATCATGAAATGACCACTCATCTAAGAGTTTCGGATGGAAGTGAGTGTGATGAATTTGACAATTGCTAAAATAAATTAGGTACAGGATGTACTTTTGCTAAAGAATGTACTTTCCAATCATTTTATATCTGACCAACAGGAACAACGTATACTGATTGCTACGTCATAATATCACCCACTTTATAAAAAGTCAATACTGTAGTTAATTTTTAATGTACAAAACTGCAATAAAATTTTCAAACACTGCTTTTGAGGTGAGTTAGTTCATAGCACGTGTAACTTACCATTGCATCTCCCATAGTGAGCAACACCAATGGATTTTCCCAGTAAGCAAGTGGCACGTCTCAGGTGGCACACACTATGGTAGGTAATACCATTGTTCCCACAAAGAGCTTGCTCAAATGATAATGGTTCTGGACAAGGCATCACTCTACACATCACGCAGTGTGCACTGTGAGTTTGGTCTACTACACACATGGAGGTACCCGGGCATGAAACCTGTGTGCATGACTCTGGAAGACATAAGGAATGTGCAATGGTAAGTACCACGAGCAGAAGACCAATGAGTTTGCTGTATTGCTTCAATAAATTGGAGAATACAATGGACACCGCTCAGTAAATATTAATGCTACCACAAAATGCTGACAATATTTTAAAGCATTTTTTCAATTAACAGTAATATCATATATTATATTATTAATAAACATATTTGGCATCATGTTACTATTTATTCGACATAGAACTGATCATTTTACTTCTATGAATTTCTAATGTTTATTAGGACATCTTACAGCAATAGCTTTTCATTATATTAGCAACAGGGGAAAGATATAAAAATGGCAGCAACATCAATTTATGAACATTTTTCATTGGCTTGGATTACATTTATTTTTAATGCAATTGTATTAAACTAAACTTACTAAAAATATACTTCTAGTTTGCAATGCTGCAGAGAAACCAATCCAATTATGTTACACATCAACAAAGCTTTCATCATTCACATTACACTATGCTTGCAAATGCTCTGTGTTAAAATGACATTTATTTGGCTTTGAAAGCAAATACAAAATTTGCTGTTTTCTATTTTGACTAGCTACTCTCTTCATTTGCCACAAATCTGCGTCATAAATTGATCATTCAAAGTCATTTTCTCATGACAAATGAAAATTATCATGTCGCACGAACTAAGAACTGAAATAACATAGGAAAATCATAAACTTGCGCAAACATTTGAGATAGATGATCTTATTAATTGACTCTCAATCCAACATTGTCCATTATTCCATTTACTAATGAATATAATTCTATTACCGATCAGTATAAAGCAGCAACAAGGTGATAACGAAGAGGGTGCAAAAATCACATTGGACAGCATGGTGCATATTTAATGGTTTCAAATTATTCTGCTCAACTATTAATTCAGAAACCTGTGCATATGAGCACACTGTTTTTGCTACAATGAACCATAAATAAAAGTTCATAAAACACTGTAACCTCTCCAGTTGCTAATACTTAGGAGCAAGCCTGGCAATTTTCAGGATTATAGAATGATGTTCTTTTGTCAAACCACAAATGTGTGAGCCACGAGTTTCTAGATCTCATCTAAGATTTTTGGACAATTGGTGTTTCTAAACAAAATATCGCTGGACTAAATAAGGTTACAGTGTACTATATATTTTTACCATGCTGTAATTTAGAATTCCTGTTTGACAGATCATTGGATGCCATCATTACAAATTGCATGGTTTATTCAGATTAATAATCAGGCTTTAATTATTTTGTTGCATCAATGAACAATATCTAGGGCCTTAAGTCAACAGGTCACTAAAAACATAAAAACCCAAATTTTAGATTGACTTTTTCACAGAAGAATATCTTTTCTGCAGATATATGCCCACATATGAATGATTTAAACATCAAATATTTCTGATCTGTGGACAGAAAGCAGAGTTAATGCATTGGGTCCAGTCACCCTCCTTCAAAAGAGGGTTCAGAAGAAGGATCACTAGACCTGAAATGTTAAATCTGCTTTCTCTCCACAGATACTGCTAGACCGGAGTTTCTCCAGCAATTTCTGTTTGTGTTCCAAGCATTCACAGCTCTTTGTTTGGCCTGTTTGACCTCTTATGTTGCATATTAAGTGGTGACTACATAGAGAGAATGTTTCCTCATGTGGGGCAATCTAGATAGAACGGGAGGTCACAATTTTACAATAAGGGTGAAGCAGATTTAAAACAGAGATGAGGATGCATTACTTTTCTCCAAGAGTCATGAATCTGTGGAAGTCATAGAATTGCATCCTAGACTTGCATCCTAGGATCCTAAAAGAGGTAGCTACAGGAATAACAGATGCATTGGTTGTAATTTTCCAAAAATTGTTGGATTCTGGAAAAATACCGGAGGATTGAAAAACTGCTAATGTGGCACCCCTATTCAAAATGGGAGGGAGGCAAAAAGCAGGTTAACTATAGGCCAACTAGTCTAACAAAAATTGTTGGAAAAGTATTGAGAAAGTAATAGCAGAACATTTGGAAAATCATAATCTAATCAAGCAGAGTCAGGATGGCTTCCTGAATGGGAAATTCGTATCTGACTAAGCTATTAGAATATTTCAAGCAAATCTTTACCAGAGTTGATAGAGGGGAATAAGAAGATGTGTTGTATTGGGCTTCCAGAAGGTGTTCGACAGGGTACCTCACACGTGGTTAAGTCATAAGATTAGAGCTCACAGCGTTGGAGGTAGCATACTGGCATGGATAAACGTTTAGCCAATGGGTAGAAAACAGTGAGTGGGAATAAAAGGCTCTTTTTCAAATCGGTGGTGAAATAACTCCCCATAGCGGCCTGTATCCCGTCACCAAGTCATCTTTTATTTACACATGATAAAGTCCTTGACTGTAGTACTGCCTCTTCAGAGTCAGCTCTCAGAGTGCCAGAATCTCTGACGCTCCTCTTTTTATCTGTCAGCTAAGACTCCCTGATTGGGGCTGTTAATCTGGTCCAATCAGGAAACTCATATTCTAAGAGTTCTAACTGGCTGACTCGTTACAATCACTATATCCCTCCCACTCCGAGTCTAGGGACATAGGCCGGTCCTTTTTCTTGGAGAGCCTCCTAGGCGTTTTAGCACCACATCAGGCTCTTCCGACTCGGCATCCAACACAGGCAGTGTGTAACGCATGGGAGCTCATTTCTTGCACCAGGAACGCCTTGGTAGAAGTTCACTTTCTTCTCCTGGCAGCAAGGGTGTTGAGGTGGCTACATTTGTCATGTCCATCTCTGATTCAGAGGACTTGTCAATGCATTTTGGAGGGGGTGAACCCATAGGTTCTGGCAGCTTTGTGACTGTTCTTCGGGGTAGGGCATGTTTTGCTCCTGTACTGTTTGCGAGTACATTGCTTTCATATGGTCCACATGCTTGTTCAGGACTGTCACACCTACCCGAACTTTATATGCCACTGATCCTGACCTCATGTTGGCCATGCCTCACGCAGGGCCATTTCCATGGTTCTTACACAAAACTTTGTTCCCTATATCAAACTGTCTCTCTCGCTTGGTGAAGTCTTATGTTTGGCATTGGCATTTCTGATGCCATTTCAATCTCCACATCCCCCAAGGTCCATGACGATTAGACTTAACCTAGTGCGGAGTTTTTTACCCTTTAGCAACACTGCCCTGCTATCCCTGTAGTTGCATGAAGGGTGGTCCTATAATCAAATAAATCCCATGACAACTTGATATCTAGCGAAGCTGTAGGCTGTTTCTCCGAGACTACCTTCAAAGTTTGAACTACACTTTCTGCCAAGCCATTGGACGATGGATGGTATGGAGCTGTCCTTATATGTCAAATCCAATTCAAATTTAGGAAATACCCAAATTCCCTGCTGGTGAACAATGGCCCATTATCTGTGACCAATACTTCTGGGAGTCCGTGTATTGAAAAAGACGCATGCAGTTTTTCTATCATCATCCCCATGATTGACGAATGGATTCCATGCACATCCAACCACTTTGAGTGGACATCTACGATGACTAACAACATTGACCCCATGAAAGGACCTGCATAGACAACATGCAACTGACATAAACCAAGGTTTACCCAGCCATTCCCACAGCAGGAGGTGCTGCTGGCAATAATTTTTGTTCTTGTTGGCACTCTGCGCACTTCCCCAGCAAAGCAGCTATGTCTGCATCCAAGCCAGGCCACCAGACAAACTTCTCACCAATACCTTCATTTTGGAGAGCCCTGGATGACCCTTGTGGAGTTCAGCCAGTGTTTGGTGACCACTTTTTCTTGGGACAGTCACTCTTGCTCCCCATAACAATATGCCGTCCTCTACAGTGAGCTGGTCTCCCCAGGTCCCAAAACGTTTCAATTTTAGTTGTGACGGCCCTTTGGTTTCCCTCCTCACCACCAGCTGTTTCAGTTTTGAAAGGACTGGATATTTCTGTGTCCAAAGTCTGATATTGTCAGCTGTGACTGGGAGTGTGTCCAAAAAATTTAACACCATTACAGAATCTTCCATTGGGGGTACCATCAGCGGTGTATTGCTTATGGGAGACAGCTCAACGCATCCGTGTTTGGTATTCGACCTCCCGGATGGTGTTCTAACCTATAATTATAAGCACTTAGTATTACAGTCCACCACTGAAAGCAGCCTGAAACTATGGGTGGCACTGCCTGGTCCTCTTTAAGCTGACCAATAGGGGTTTGTGGTCTGTTATTATCACAAATTTTCATCCGTAAACGTATTGGTGGAACTTCCTGATTCCAAATAGGATCGCCATCTTTCTTCCTCTATCTGGGCGTATTTGCGCTCTGCATTAGAATCCTAGCATTAGAATATCTAGCTTCGTGAAAGACAGCACCTGTGCCAGCTTTGCATATAAATCCTCTATCCAGGGAAATAGCTATTTATCCACATGCAAATAGTGGTTTACTGTTTGTTTTATAATCCCCATAAAGGTGAAACGATCTGTCGGGCTTCACAATCAGTACAAGCGGTGCTGCCCATTCTGCAAACTGGACTGCTTTGATGATTCCAGCTTTCTGATTTCTGCCTCGACATTTGCCTGTAAGGCAAGTGGCACTGGGCGGGGATTGCAGAGTCATTGAAATGCTTCCTGATCAATATGTAAGGTGGCCTTAGCTTTTCTGATAGCCCCTAGACCTTCCTGTAAGACTTCCAGGTATTTAATTCACAATTCACTCAGGCAGCCACTTTCTAATTGAAAAATGTTGAGCCAATCTTGGTGAATCTCTGCAAACCATTTTTCCCCATCAAGCTTGGGCCTGAGCCTTTTTCTACAATCTGAACTGAACCAGCTGCTTTTCAAAAGAGACAGAACCTAAGTTGTACCCTTAATTTGTAAAGGTTTCCCAGTATAGATTCTCAGCCAAGCTGAGGTCTTGCACAAACTTAAGGGTTGGAGTCCAGAGCGAATTTTATTAAAAACTCATCTGCGATCACTGATAAAGCCAGGCTGGTACCGACCTCCACTAGAGTCGTAGAGTCATACAGGATGGAAACAGACCTCTTGGTCCAACCAATCCACATTGACCATAGTACCAAACTAAAGCAGTCCCGCATGCCCACGCCTGGCTCATCCCTTCAAACCTTTCCTATTCATGAACTTATCCAAATATCTTTTAAACGTTGTAACTGTGCCTACATCCACCACTTCCTCTGGCAGTTCATTCCACACACTAACCACTATCTGTGTAAAAAAGTTGCCTCTCATTTCCTTTTTAAATCTTTCTCCTTTTACATTAAAAATATGCCCCTAGTTCTGAACTCACCCACCCTAGGGAAAGTATCTTTGTCATTCACCTCATCTATGTCCCTCATGATTTTAAAAACCCCAATAAGATCACCCCTCAACCTCCTATCCTCCAGTGAAATATGCCACAGCCATGCCAGTTTATTTTATTTTTTAAATCAAACCCTCCATTCTCAGCAACATTCTGGTAAATCTTTACTAAATCCTCTCCAGTTTAATAATATCCTTCCTATAATAGGGTTACTAACTCCAGAAGAGGCCTCACCAACATCCTGCACAACCTCAAAATGATGTCGCAACTCATACTCAAAGATTAGGACTGGGTGACCATTTAACCAAATGTTTGTTTTGATTGACTTTGATTTGGGCGTTGCTAAGCAACTTAACTGTTCCAAACCAGATGTGGGTGGCTTTTCCAGGCTATGAACGCTCCTGGATACCGGCCTATGATTTACCTTACTCAATTTATGTCTGGTAGCCCTCTTTAGTTGTCTTGAGTCTGCATACTGGCAGCAACTATAATGGATTGCTGGCCAGATCCTGAAGAAAATTTTAACCGTTTGGCCAAAGGTTGGCTTTATTTTAGAGTTTTGCTGTGGGCTGACCTATAGTCCCTCTGTTCAGGAAATGTCCTCCATGAAGCTATGCAATTGCCTGGACTCAAATGGTGTTCCCCAAGCTCAGTCAGTCTGGCAAAGGTATCCACTTCCATTGGAATACCCTGCAACTCATATGCTCCACTTGCCGCATTTTCCAGTTGTAGAGCCTGTTTGAAGTCCAGTTGGGCTACAGCTGGCAGATGCTTTTAGAGCCATAGAGCCATAGAAATATACAGCACTGAAACAGACCCTTTGGTCCAACTCGTCCATGCTGACCAGATAACCTAAATAAATCTGGTCCCATTTGCCAGCATTTGGCCCATATCCCTCTAAGCCCTTTCTATTCATGTACCCATCCAGATGCCTTTTAAGTGTTGTAATTGTACCAGCCTCCACCACTTCCTCTGGCAGCTCATTCCATACACGTACCACCCTCTGCGCGAAAAAGTTGCCCTTTCGGTCCCTTTTGAATCTTTCCCCTTCTCACCTTAAACCTATACCCTCTAATTTTGGACTCTCCCACTTCAGGGAAAGGACCTTATCTATTTACCCTATCCATGCTCCCCATGATTTTATAAACCTCTCTAAGGTCACACCTCAGCTTCTGGCGCTGCAGGAAAATAGCCCCAGCCAAATCAGCCTTTCCCTGTTGCGCAAACCCTCCAACATCCTTGTAAATCTTTTCTGAACCCTTTCAGGTTTCACTATATCCTTCCTTTAGTTGCATATTTACATCATTAATCCCACACACCTCTAAGCATTTCATTAAGGGTTAAGCTAAAGCCCTTTTATATGATGTATGTTGTTAAACTTGAGAGGATGCAGAAAAGGTTTACAAGGATATTGCCAGGTCTGGAGGGTTTGAGTTATGGGGAGTGGCTGAATAAGCTGGGTTTTTTTTCCCCTGGAGCATCGAGGCCTGAGGGGTAACCTTACAGATGTTTATAAAATCATGAGGAGCATGGATAGGGTAAATAGCCAAGGTCTTTTAACTAGGGTGGGGGAGTCCAAAACTATAGAGCATAGGTTTAAGGTCAGAGGGGAAAGATTTGAAAAGGGCCTGAGGGGTAACTTTTTCCTGCAGAGGGTGGTGCGTGTATGGAATGAGCTGCCAGAGGAAGTGGTGGAGGTTGGTACAATTACAACATTTAAAAGGCATCTGGATGGGTATATGAATAGGAAGAGTTTAGAGGGATATGGGTCAAATGCTGGCAAATGGAACTTGGTCAGATTGAGATATCTGGTCAGTGTGAACAAATTGGACCAAAGGGTCTGTTTCCATGTAGTATGACTCTATGACTCTATAACTCAAAAATGATTGTTGCAAGTGAGTTTCTTTAGGAACATGCTTTACACTTATCGCCGGTGAAATAACTTCCCGTAGAGACCTGTATCCTGTCACCAAGTCATCCTTTATTTACGCATGAAAGTCTTGACTCTAGCACTGCCTCTTCAGAGTCAGTCCTCAGATTACCAGATACACCACTTTTTATCTGTCAGCCAGGATTACCTAATTGGGCCAGATTAAGAGCCCCAGTCAGGGAACTCATATTCTATGAGGTCCAACTGGCTGATCCCATTGCAATCACTGCAGGTGGTCTGTGACCAGTGGGGATCCACCGGGATCAATGTTGGGACTGCAACTGTTTACCATAGATATTAATGACTTTGAGGAAGGAAGTGAATGTCCTGCAACCAAATTTGCAGACAACACAAAAATAAACGGCAAGACACGTTGTGAGAGGATACAAACAGCTTACAGAAAGATATGGAGTGGTTAAGAAAGTCGGCAAAAAGTTAGAAAATGGACTATAATGTTGGAATGTGTGAGAGTGTTCATTTCAGATGGGAGAACAAAAGAACAGAATATTATTTAAATGGAGATTAAGTGCAGTTAGCTACACCACAAAGGGTCTTGGGGGCAGCTGTGTATGAAACACAGAAATCTAGCACAGAGGTTCAGCAGTAATCAGGAAGGCCCATGGACTATTTGCCCTTATTTCAAGTGAATTGGAGTATGAAAATAGGAAAGTCTTACTGCAACTGTGCAAGGTGCTGTTGAGGCCACATCTGGAGTACTGCAAGCAATTTTGGTCCCCTTCTTTAAGAAAGAGAAGCTTCACTGGGATTCTCCCTGGTATGGAGGGGTTGGCTTATGAGCAAAGCCTAAACAGGCTGGACTCTACTCACTGGAGCTTAGAAGAATCAGAGGTGATCTCACTGAAACATACAGCATTCTTAAGGGGCTTGACAGGATAAATGCTGACATGATGTTTCCCCTCTTGGGAGAGTATAGGACCAGAGGGCATATTTCAGAATAAAGGGGAGCCAGTTTAAGACAGAGATGAGGAGGAATTTCTTCAATCAGTGACTTTGGAACCCCTTGCCACAGAGAGCTGTTGGGCCAGAGTCCTTGTGTATATTTAAGGCTGAGATAGATTGTTGATGAGTCACGGAATCAAGGGTTACGAGAAAATGGCAGGAAAGTGGATGGGAGGAATGTCGGATCAGCCAAGGTCCGATTGAATGGCACAGCATGCTGGAGAAGCCGAATGGTCTTTTCCTGGTCATATTTCATATGGTTTTATTACCCCAGAGTGTGGTGGATGTTGAATAAATTTAAGGAGGAGACAGACAGATTTTCAAATAGCAATGGATTAAAGGGTTATGGAGAGTGGACAGGAAAGTGGAGTTGAGGTCAAGATGAGATCAGTCATGATCGTATTAAATGGCAGAACAGGTTTGAGGGGCTGAATTGCCAATCCTGCACCTTGTTCCTATGCTTTTATATTCTTTCTTATGCCTTGCAAGAACCCAGATCGCAAAATAACATCATATATGCTAAATTATTCCTCTTGCCATTGACACATTTCTTTTCTAAAATAGCATAGAATGAAGCTTTCGTGTGCACTAAATGTGAAGAAACTGTACAGATATTCTTTGCAAACGTGTTTACTGCTTGTTACACTGAGAATTTTTTTTTTCCCTTCATTTATTTTATCTTGTACACGAATGGAAAATAGTCCATGATACAAAATCGGTAAACCATAATACATATTTGTATGTTTTTGTATGGTATACTGTAGGTAATTCATTTCAAGACACACATATATATAAATAATATAGATTAAACCCAACCTTTCTCAGTCAATACAGAGGAAGCACAATGGCTATGGACTTCCCTGGTCCTTCCACGCTGGCCGTGTGATAGGGGAATAGCATTAACAGAACAGTACAGGGTCCAAGGAAATTACCTGAAATAGTGGGAGAAAAACATCTAAAATCTGCAGGGAGAATGAAATAAAAACTTACTTTTGCATTCTCCTTGATACTGCACTTCTAGCTCTGGCAGTCCTCTGCACTTTGCCAAAAGGAGAGCACATTCATCCTTGTAGACTTTACCATCAGTTCCACACACAGGTACTTTCTTTGTGACATTGGAACAGTCAGGTGCACAGATGCATGTTGGCTTGTTATGCTTATTCATTTTGCAAATCTTCCCAGGTCCACAATCCACACCCTCACAAGATTCTAAAGTAACAAATGAAAGATAGACCATAATAAAGTAATAATACCGATCTGTCAACTTGGCAATGGTGTAAAATTTCATTGGTAAACATTCAAACTGAACAGCAACACTGTGCCCATTTTAAACTATCTGTAATTTCATGGACAAAAACAGTTCAATTGTGTTTCTTCTTCCTGAGATCCAATTTTGATAAATATAGATTATATCTTTCTTTTGTTTCTTTCTTGTGTAGAACAGGCCAATCAGGATGATATTCTAAGACTTCCTAAAACATCCATGTAACAGTTAGACAGGTAGATTTGAATGCATGATATGTTGAAAACAGTGCTAGTTTTATCAGGTGATAACATCTGTGCGTGAATGGCTGGCTGATTACCTGCACATTTGTACATTAGTTGGGAACTTGAGAGCAGTATGACACTATTGGTATAGTAAGGCCAACCTTTTCACGGAACTGTTTTCAACAAGATATCTCACAGGATATAATATTGCTGCTGCCAAAGTTCTCTATTCAAATTTCAGAAAAACACAAAAGGAATAAAGGACCTATTGTGTTCTGTTATGTAATTATGCATATAATGATATCTTTACTTAACAAAAGGTGACTGCTTTCCTAATCAAAATGATGCATATAATTCTAATACCATAAATCTTCATCACTCATAAATGCTCCCAAATTGTGACTATTTCTCAAATTGACATCTTAAATAATTAAAATAATTCAACATTCCCGTATAAGGACGTAGCCCTTGCTTCATCACAAATCCATACTGTTGTTCAGAGTAACCTGTATTGACGTTGGCAGCACTTTTGAAAGCAATCATTAGTGAGATTGAAATAAACGTGCCGGTGCTACGACTAAACTTTGAAGCTATAAATTCTGAAAGAAAACTGTACCTTGAAGTTACTGCCAATACTGGCAGCCTGAATATAGTGACATAATTTTGTTTCCAGTATAGCTCATTTTCCCGTACAGTTTGTTCTGGCAACTGAGAGCACTACAAGTGTCACGCATTTTCTGCACTGTAATATAGCACTCGCTGAAAGGACTTGATGTTTATTCCAATGCTTTCCTGGCTGGCCTCCCAATATTCCACCCATTGTAAATTTGAGCATATCAAAATCTCAGCTGCCTGTATCCTCACACACATAAGCACCCATTCACCCATTATCAGGGATCCCTAGGTTAGATGGATTAGCCATGGAAAATGTGGGGTTATGGGGATAGTGTAGTGGTGTGGGTTTATGTGATGGGATGCTCTTTGGAGGGTCAGTGAAGACTCAATGGGCAGAATGGCCTGCTTCCAAGACTATAGGGATTCTATGATTCTAACTACTTGGGTCCTAAGCTCTAGAATTCCGTCCCTAAACCTTTGTCTCCTTTAAGTTACTCCTGAAAACCTATCTGTTTGTCCAAGCTTTTCCTAATAGCTCCTAGTCCAATTTTGCTGTTAATGCATCTGTGAAGAAATTCAAGTTGCTTTTCCTACACTAATGGTGCCATATAAATGTGAGTTTTTGTTGTTGAAAATAAATAATGCAGAACCAAAGCTAATATATATCTTGATTAAATATAAATGTGCCACTGTACACAGCAATGAGAGAAATACATGGGAGCCGTTCAGTGGTAATGCCACTGGACCAGTAGCCCTGAAGACTTGAATTAATGTTCAAATCCCACCACGGCAATTAATCTAGAATGGCAAGCTAATCCCAGTAATGGTGACTATTGTAAAGGTAAAATCTCCATAGTCCTTTTGGACCATACAGTTGCTCTCTCATTAGAGAGAGGTGATTGCTGGTGGTTATAACGTGAGGGTCATCGCACTTTAGGTGAGGAGGGAGGTTGAGAAGGACAGTCGTCAGGGTAACCTCAACTGTGCGGGAATTAAACCCACACTGTTGGCATTATGCTATATTTAAAACCAGCTGCCCAGCCAACTGAGCTAACCAATGCCCCCAAAGCTATTGTCAAATGTCATAAAAACCAATCTTGCTCACAAATAGAGATAACAGGGTGTAGAGCTGGATGAACACAGCAGGCCAAGCAGCATCATTGGAGCAGGAAGGCTGACGTTTCGGGCCTGGACCCTTCTTCAGAAATTTCTGCTTGGCCTGCTGTGTTCATCCAGCTCTACACCTTGTTATCTCAGATTCTCCAGCATCTGCAGTCCCTACTATCTCTTGCTCACAAATGTCCATTTTTACATGAGTTGGCCTACTTGTGACTTCAGACCAAAAACAACATGTTTGATGCTTACTTGCTCTCTGAAAAGATGTGGGAGGTCACTAAGTTTGAGGGCAGTAAAGAATGGGCAACAAAAGTGGTTTTGCCAGAGATGCCAACATCTCATTCTTAAGGGTTTTTAAAAAAAACAACAGAATTAGGTGCAATTCAGTTAAGTTTTCAGTATGACCTGTTTGTATTGTTTAATATAATCAATAATAAGTCATATTAATCCAAGTCTTAAATAAAAATGGGTTCATCATCATACCTTAGGTAAACAGATGAAAATATTTGTAAGAGAAGGCTTTGAAAGCATACCAATTGTAATCTATATTCAGAGAGGGGGTAAGAAATAAATCAAAGGTTTTTACTCCATCAAAAATCGGTTATTGATGGGCAGGGAGGTGGTGGAGAGGTACAATGAGTTGTGGGGGTGTGTCCGGGAATGAGGTAGCATAGATTGGCATGGGGAGTGATGAGGGAATGAAGGAGAAGGAAGAGGTTAGAGCTGGAGGGTAGTTTTAGATTTTACTTTTTTAAAAACATCAATACAGTGCCAGAGCTTCCACCTAGCTAGCACTGTGCCTGGCATCCTCTGCTGCCATCTTGGTATTGTTTGGCCTGATTCCCAGGAAACCCCAGAATGAAGCTCTAATATGTTCGCAGACATTTTTATATGTTGTGAAATCTGGCATTGTGTACATCTGATGCACGGATAAAAATCCATGCCATAGATTTCTAACTACTGCAATTATTATTGATGTTTATCTCTAACCCTAGTCAAAGCATCAATGCTTTTTTTGAAATTTGCAGAGTTAAAATTGCAAGGTTTCTTTCCTATCTTAATCTTCAGTGGCTACACGCTCAGACCAGAGAATCAGAGTGATGACAGTCCTCTATCCCAGCTGTGCTCAAGTCTAATGAGAATTTAATCTGTGGAAATAAGTCATGTTGTCTCTTGGCAACCCAAATTGTAAACGGTTCTTAAGGTAACAAGGTTAAAATAATATGCAATAATTTGCAGCTCAATGCCCTTAGACTACACACCAGTGTGATTAATTGCCATTAATTTAACCACATACATCAGTCCTCACCGAATTTATCCGGAAATGGAGGTTGCTGCTGATTTTTTTTGTAGGTAACCGTCTGCAAAATGCATGAGAAACATCCCACATCCCACAGCAAGTGCTGTGTTTGGCAGCTGGTCTTCCTATTTTCAAACACTTTTGCCGTAATGGAAAAAGTCAGAAGCCACATGAACCAGGGTATAGTCCAACAGGTTTATTTGAAATCACAAGCTTTCAGAGCACCTGACGAAGGAGCAGCGCTCCAAAAGCTTGTGATTTCAAATAAACCTGTTGGACTATAACCTGGTATTGCGTGACTTCTGACTTTGTCCACCCCAGTCCAACACCAGCATCTCCACATCATGGCCATTATGGGAAGTCTCTCTGTCATAGTGAAAATGTTTTGAGGAAAGACTTTTAAGAGTGTTCCATTTGTTTCAATGGAGAAAAGTTTGATGGAGGGGAGCATCTTGAAAATGCTGAGTCATGAGTTAGCATGGCTTAATGCAACAGTAAGCAATTTTTAAATGAGGCGTATCAGATGTGGATGAAAAGATGGGAGCACAAAATCAGCTTGCCACAAATAAGTTTCCTTTTCCCCTAGAATATAAGCTGTGTAAAATAGTCACTGAGCATAGTGAGCTGGTACTACACAGATCAGAAATCTTTCACCTAAAAAGCTTAATATATATCTGTCTAAGGACAATGAAATTTTTAGAAGAAAATAAGTAGTCATGAAATACTTTATGAATATGATTCCTGAGCACCTGCCACTGCAGAAGTATCATACTGTGGAGAACAATCAGTGGAAGATGAATAATGTTGCCTATAAAGGGAGATAGTGGCACTGTGGTAACATCATTGAAAGAATCCAGAACTCAGGTTAATGTTCTGAGGTCATGGGCTTGAATCCCACCAGGATGGATGGTCAAATATGAATTCAATAAAACGTTGGTCTAATGGCCACCATGTAACCTGTCAATTGTTACTAAAAACCAATTTCGTTCACCGAGTGTCCTTTAGAGAAGGAAATCTGTCATCTTTACCTTGGTCTGACTTACGTGTGACTCCAGGTCCCCTCAGCAATGTCACTGACTCTTGACTACACTCTGAATGTGGTCAGATCAAGGGTCAATTAAGGATGGACAATAAATATTGGCCTACCAGTGATGCCCACATTCGAATGGATAAATAATAAAATCAGGAAGTGAGTGACCCTGGAGATCAGGATAAAGACAAAAACTTGGGAGAAATTTCCTTACAGAGACTATATACATTTATGGTAAGGAAAATTGTACGTAGAATTTTCAATGAAAGGGCTTGAGGTGGGGTCAAGAATTATCTTTTGTTACTTGTCTTGATTTGTTACTAGATATCTGGAATTTATCCAAGGAGAAACAAGTTTTATTCTGTTTCCAATGGTATTAGGATACAAAGGATCTAATTTCTCAACTTTTAAAACACAGCAAAGTAACCCTTAAATATTAATTTTCTCTGAAAATTTTGAAGTGTCAAGACTCTTGTAGTTAATCTGAGTGTGCAGTATTGGAATTTCTTGAGAAACATTCAGTTGCAATTGTATAAATCATGTTGTAATGTCTTACATTAAGGCAGTGGTTAGCGCTGTTTGAAACAGCAGTAAACTGTGGAAGTTCATATGTTATTAATTTCCTATTCTTCTTTTTGTTGGTGAAGGCAACTCACCTTTTCCATTGCTTTCTAAAGCCAGTAGATCATGCTCTGAGTTACTTATGCAACTTTTTAAGTAGCTAGCTCATTAGTCTTAACAGTGGCAACCAGCTTGATCCATTGTGACTGGAGATATTACTGGGAGAGTAGGAGGGTCACAACTCCACTCCCAATAGATGTAAATACTTTGTTGGTTGTCAGGCCAGTATTCAGTGATCAGACTCTAGTATGATGCTCGCTGGGGGTAGGTAAAGCTCTTTCATGTTACCATAAAATAACCTACATCATAATATATTTGCCTGCTCCTTTAAGCCCTTTGAAACTGTATTCAACTTTGCCTTTGAAATTAATTGTTAAAAATGTGTGGGCAAGTTCTCTGGTGGTCCAATGTCTTGGTGCTGATACTACTACTCCTCAGGTTTACTCCTCAGGCAAGGATGAAATCTTCTCAATAAAATCTCTATTACTATATTTTACAAGAACCATATGACAACAGCAGCGTGCTATTACAGATCTTAACTCACTGCAGATGCAGACTCCGAGCAGTCCTTAGATCAAACAACTTGCCCCGTAGTCCTGATCAAGCAGTACTTGATTCTAATATTTATTCAACTTTACTGTGCTTTAAGAAAAACAACTTCAATAGAGTAAAAATATTATAACAGCACTCCTAATGGCATATGCATCGAGGCAAATAAACCTTTCATACACTTCACTGTAAAAACAAACTATAGCCCCATTTTGTCAGCAGTCAGTTCTTGAAGTGATAGAAATGGTAAATGGTTAATAATGTTCCAAGGTAAGCAATGTGCTGATGAAGTTATTGCAAAGGATTTTGTAAAGGATGGGATATGCCCTCAGAACTCTAGGCCAAATTTCTTGGAAAATAAAGTCTACACAGAGACAACTGTAGAAATGAGAAAGCAATCACAATTTCAATATGGGTCTGGGCTGGCCCCTGCAACAAAATACAAAGTTGTAGCAATTTCAGCCTTGGAACCTGTGGACTGGCTCCAAGGACAGTGTCTTACAACTAATATTCCACTCAAAAATGATGCCAAAATGACAAAACAAATTGAAACAATAACAAAGGACTAGAACGAAGGATAGATGAAAGGCGATGATTTACTATCACAATATGTCATGTGTACACTGCTTTAAAAGTTTTGGCAAAAATACATCTTACTCTTGCCACTTTATCTAAATGTTTGTGTACTCTTTTCTACTTGAAATATAAATAGGAGTGAAAAGCAGCTTTATAACATACAGAATGTTGAGAAAAATTGCAAATGTTTCTTATGGCTAAGCCACTATTCCACGCTACTAACCCAGAGAATATGTTCCTATGTATACATTTTACTCATTAGACAGTGACTCAGGTCCAAAGAAGGATTTGGAACTAGATTGTTTGCTTTTCTGAGATAATTTTCTACACATGTTGTCAGTTAGAGGGAAGACATTTTCAAAATTAATTTAGCTACCAGTACAATTTGGTTTTTTTGTCAATAATGTTTATCAGAGTTTTGTCTCTCAAGGCAAGGGGAGAATGGCCTAAATTTACAGCTCACTGTCGACTACACTTTTAGTGGGTCGTTGTGGTTCCCTTTTCAAATTTTTGATGGTTGGTGAAAACTAAACCTGTTATTACCTCAGGCATAACATAAATATTTGAAGCAAAATGTGAAAATAAATTTTCCACCTTTTGTAACCTTTAACATTTGTTCAGCCCGGCCACCCAGCCATCTCTAAATGTTTGTAAAGTACCCTAATTTTTTTCTATGGCAATTGGAATAAATATAAACACTCACAGTTTTTAATAGACTGAAAAGAAGGGAACATATAAATAAAGTAAAAATTCCAACTAAAAGCTGCCTGTAATACCAAGCTGTGACTCTTATGCGATGTTTGCTTCATTTAAATTTCAGCTCCAGGCATGGGTCCTTTCTATAACTGAGCTCAAGGTGGGAAGGTTAGCCAGGATCAGATATACCTCTGAGGTTCCCTCTGAGCCACTTGGAAGGTACAGTATGAGCTATTCACAAGTTGTTTCATGAGAGGTAACATAAGCGCATAGCTATACAAAAAAAAGACGCTCAGGCTGTCTGCAACAAAATCAAATTACAGGGAAAGTTATTGCCATTGCAATCAAGCATAGCTCAATTAACATAGGCATAGGTATGGAGACATTATGAATTGAAGCAGACATATTATAGGTTCAAATTGATCCATTTCTGAACATGGTTACTGCAACATGCTATTTCAGTGTACCTGATTTATCATGGTTGTTACACATCTTCATCCTTGCTTTCAAATTTCTCCATGGCCTCATCCCTCCCCAACTCTGTAATCTCTACCAGCCATAAACCTTCCATGGTATCTGTGTTTCTCCAATTCTAACCTTCTATGGAACCCTGCTTTAATTGCTCCATCATTGATGGCTATACCTTCAGTTGTCTCAGTCCTAAGTGTGTGAATGTTCTTACTATGCCTCTCTGTTTCTCCTTCTCATTTCATTCATTTAAAGATACACCTTAAAACTTAATCTTCAGAAGGAAAAATCAGTTAAAAAAAAAGATATTTGGAAATGAACATACATGTTATACTGGAGCACTATTCTGAGTATACAAAACAAGTCAGACCAATATGTGTTATTTGCATGTTTTACTGGTTTTTTGTTCTGGTCATCCTTCTCGGCATCATACTCTGTTTTATTTGGTTTATGTGCAACACCTTAGAAACTTTCCTTGTCTAAAGTATGATGCATAAATATCAGTTATTATTATTGCTGTATACTTACTGTGGCAAGGGAAACAATTAATTCCACCGAGAATTATAAGTTTTAAAATATCATTCTCTGGTATATCATGGCTTGTCCAAGCAGCTTGAGCACTTCCACTGCTGCAACACTCCTCTCGATCAATCCGTGTCATGGATAAAGCCTGGCATTTTCCATTTCTTCCTTGTTGGAGCCAACATACCCCAGCTGAAGGAACCATAACAAATAAAACATGGATGAGCAATTTCAAAGACATTTGTTTTCACTGATTTTTTTTCAACATATAATTACATTCTTAAAATTCTAAAATTGTAAAATACCTTCTTGATCCCACCAAAATCCTCCCTTCCTTAATTAACAAATCTAAAAATCAAGAACAGCAGTTATGAATCTGTGTCACAATATCCCTTTACATTGTATACCAGAGCACCATTGTGCTGTGTCACTGTACTGGCTGTTTAAAGCATGATTTTACTGATGTTCTTTATCATTCTCTAATAATCCAGCTCGGTTAGCATTTTATAAATATATCATAAATCGTGACAAAAAAATTGAGATTATTCATTTTTTAAAGTTTTATAATTTGAAAACAAAAGGATTTCAGACTTGTTAATTATGGAACAGTTAATATATGTGTCATAGTTTGATAATTGTGTCTTTCTGTTTCTTTGTACTGTTACAACTTTCAATAAATGCTACAAAGTCATTTCAGTCTGTATGCACTTGTCTAGAAATAGATTATTTTCCCATTCATCTTTGGAAAGAAAGAGGAATGTGATAATACCATGTATCCCTTAATGATACACAATAACATTGAGAGAGGTATTATCCTAATGGTATGTCACTGCATTGTTAATCCAGATAGCCAGGTAAGGTTTCAGGGACCCCATGTGAAATCACACCATAGCAGTTGGTAGAATTTAAATTCAATCTGGAATTCAGAGTCTAATGGTGATTGTGGGGAATAAATCATCCAGTTCACTAATGCCCTTTAGGAAATGACTCCAGACGCACAGCAGTGTGGTTGACTCTTAACTGTATCTGAAATTACATAACACACCATTCAGTTGTAGTAATTGCTATAAAGTTAACTGTCGGGATAGGCAATAAAAATACCGGCCTAGCCAGCGATGCCCATAATCTGTGAATGAATAAAAAACAAGCCTCAAAGAAGAAGAAATGAAACCGGATGGACCATCTGCAACCTAGGCATCAGAAACAACAATGGCATAAACAGGCCTGTTGACTCTGCAAAGTCCTCCTCAGTAACGTTTGGGGACTAGTGCTAAAATTTGGAGAACATTCTCACAAAATCTCTGATATAGTCATACTCATGGAATCATATCATTTTAGAGACAGTATCCCGGACGTCACTATCAACAGCTCTGGATATTCCTGTCCCACCAGCAGAACAGGCTCAGCAGAGGTGGTGACACTGTGGTAAACAATCAGGAAAGAGTTTCCCAAGGAGTTTTGAACACTGACTCCGGACATCAGGTGTTTCATGGTGTCAAGTCAAACCTGAGGATAGAAACCTCCTACTGCTCACCTCCTGCTGTCTTCCTTTGGCTGATGAATCAGTGCTCCTCTGTGTTGAGCAACACTTGAAGAGGGTGGCATGGGCACAGATTGTACTCTTGGTGGGGGATTTCAATGTCCACGATCAAGAGTGGCTTGGCAGCAACACTGCTGATTGATCTGGTTGGGTCCTAAAGGACATAGCTGCTAGATTGGGTCAGAGGCTGGTGGTGAGGTAACCAACAAGAGGGAAAAAACGTGAGGCCCTCTGGGCTATCAGCAGCAGCAGAGCCATAATCCAATACAATCTGCAACTTCAGGGCCTGACACTTACCCCACTTTACCAATATCTTCGAGCTATAGGATCAACTCTGGTTCAATGAAGAGTGCAGGAGGGCATACCAGGAGTGCCCAACATACCTAAAAATTATCTGTCAACCTGGTGAAGCTACGAAGTAGGACTACTTGCATGCGAAACAGCATAGTATCAAGTGATGGGCAGATTTAAGTTCTGTAGTCCTGTCTAATCCAGTTGTGATTGTTGGTGACAATTTAACAACTCACTCGAGGAGGAGGCTCCCCAAATATCCCCATCTTCAATGATAGGGGAGCCTAGCACATCAGTGCAAAAGATAATGCTGAAACATTCGTAGCGATCTTCAGCCAGAAGTGCTGAGTAGCTGATCCATCTCAGGCCTCCTCCAGAGGTCCCCGCATCAAAGATGCCAGTATTCAGTCAATTTGATTGACTCTTCATGATTAACAGAAATAGATGAAGGCATTGGATACTGCAAAGGCTATGGGCCCTGACAACATTCCAGCAATAGTACTGAAGACTTATGCTACATAGCTTGCTAATCCCTAGCCAAATAATTCCACTGCAGCTACAACACTGGCATCAACCCGACAAGGTTAAAAATTGTCTCCAATAAAAGATAATCTAACTAGCGCCCCTTGACATTCAATAGCATTACTATCACTGAATCATTCACTGTTAACCTTCTGGGGATACCATATACCAGAAACTGATCTAAACTAGCCATGTAAATACAATGGCTACAAGGGCAGGTCAGAGGCTAGGCTAGAGTCTAACTCACTTCCTGACTCCCTAAAACCTGTCCAATGTCTACAAAGCACAGGTCAGTGTGATGGAATGCTCCCCACTTGCATGAGTACAGCTCCAACAACACTCATGAACCTTGACATCATCCAGGACAAAGCAGCCTGATTGATTGGCATCACATCCACAAACTTCCACTCACTTCACCACCAATGCTCAATAGCAGCAGTGAGTACTATCTACAAGATGAACTACAGAAATTCACCAAAGATCCTGAGACAGCACCTTCCAAACCCACACCTACTACTGCCTAGCAGGACAACAACAGCTGGTACACAGGGACATCAGCACCTTCAATTTATCCTTCAAGCCGGTCACCATCCTGACTTAAATATATCGCCATTGCCACAGTGTCACTGGGTCAAAATCCTGGAATTCGTTCCCTAATGGCACTGTGGATCTACCTACAACAGATGGACTGCAGCAGCTCAAGAAGGCAGCTCACTACCACCTTCTCAAGGGCAAATAGGGACAACAATAAATGCTAATCCAGCCAGCTCTGCTCACATCCCATGAGTGAATTAGAAAAAAGTATTTATGAGTTAACACTGAACAAAGCAACTCATATGAACTTAAATTAAGAAAGTTGGGGAATTGATGTATATGAGAATTAGTCTGCTCATGAAAAGTGCATCCATCTATGAACGAAGACTAAAATGATGGAAAAAGAAGTAAACAGTGCAATAGACTTCATTGACTGCATGCACAAGGACATTGGTGAAGGTGACAAATGTGGATAAAGATCTAACTACATGACTGAAAGCATTTTGTTCAGGCCAGTACTTCCACAGAGTAAGGAAAGGCATACTGCTCATTTCATCTCAAACACTGATTTCCAAAACAGGAAGGATAATTAGTCACCTTTGATCATAATGATCTACTGTGCCACCTTACTGTGTACAATGCTTGACTTAAATATGAACTTAGAACCTATGACATGTAAGTGATGAGAGATTACCTGCAAAGAATAGCCTTACATTGATACACAATATTTACTTGGGTTCTGCGTGAATTCTTTATTTGATTGAACAGATAGGAGTTACTGTAAGGACTGAAAATTCATTGCAATCTCTTAATTCCAAACAACATTCAAAAACCTGCTACTCATTTTATCGATCTGAGGCTGAGTTCTAATTCCAAGGCAGGTACTCAACCAGAAAAGAAGCTAATGTTATAGCCAATGATTTAGCACATAATGAATAAAAGGAATATGAAAACACATTGAAGCTCCTTCTCTGAAAGAACACATAAAGTTTGTTTTAAAGTTTGTATATAAAACAGCAGTGACAGCATTGTAATATAATCAAATACTGTATTTTCCTCAATTGTTACTCATCATAAGGATAATAGGATTGGCTGAAATCAACTGCATTTGAATTGGTGGGTAGCTTATTTGTGGCTCTTCTAGTGGCTGTGTTGAGACAGCAAACCTTTAAACTGTACACTTTTGATTTAGAAACTTTTATTTTAGAAACATGTGGAAATCACACAGGATATTTAATTTTTTATGTGTTTTTTCTGTAAAAGGCTAGGAAAGCATTTCACAGTTTCAGTGTGAAAAAAGTCCAATAACTTTACTTAATTATCATTTCATCCAAATTTGGTCAAGTACTTCTTTGTAAGTATTGCTTATTAATGAGGTTAAACAGATGTCTCTGCAGTCTATATATTATTACTTTCAAGTGATACTAAGTGTTATAGAGCTTCAGAACTTTCCTTTCAAGGTGAATGTATTTGAACTAATCACAGGGATTCTCAACTTCACCAAAGGTCACTTCAACAAAGGTGATTAGAAAGAAAACTCTCTCAGTATTTCTGAGGTATCAGTTGTATTTCTCAAACAAATGCTGACAACTTCTAATATTTTGCTGATCCTTAGGATGTTGAATGTGGAACTCACACTCAGTTTGTAATACAAATATTTACAATTGGAACAATGTGGAGACCAGTAACTAGTTATACCGTCCCAGTAACACTGCTCTCTGGCCAAGTGACCTGACCTCTGCGCAGAAGCAATTAACTTCATGCATCAAATTGGCAGGGCTTTTTCCACAGAATTTTTCAAGCTCACAGCCTCTATCACCTTACAAGAACAAGGGACTTTGATCAGATGGGCTAATGGGTTGAGGACTTCCAAGTTTCCCTCCAAGGCATAACTTGACCTCACAGTACCGTAGGATAACCTTCATCACATGGGTTGTAGCAGTTCAAGATGGTGGCTGCTACAAACATCTCAAGTGTACCAATGACACCCAGATCCCATGAATGAATAAAATTAAAACAATACCACAATTAAACATATTCTATTTCTTCCTTTTAAACCTATTCATTTGAATGCTATCAAAAACAATGCTGTCAATGCAACAAAAAGGGAAAAGTAAAACATTTATTGCCAAACATAATTACTGATCAGATCTGGCAGCACCTGTGGAGAGAAAGCAGAGTTAACATTTTGAGTCCAGTGACCCTTCTTCAGAAGGGCATTCTGGTCACTGGACTCCAAAGCATTAACTCTGATTTCTCCTCATAGATGCTGTCAAACATGCTGAGTTCCTCTAGCAATTTCTGCTTTTGTTTCAGATCTTGTCAGCAGATTTTTTTGTTTTATTTTAGTTAATTTCTGATCAATAGATGGTGAGGACACAAACTTGAACCAGTGCACTCTCTATGATTCAGGGACATTTTAGAAAGGGTGTTCCAAGATTTTGACACAGGCACAGTAAAGAAAGAATGATATATTTCCAATATAACACAATGAAGGGTCTTCTTCTTGAGGGGGTTGGAAACGTTAACTCTTATTCCTCTCCACAGATGTTGCTAGAACCTGTTGAGTTTCTGCAGCAATTTCTGATATATTTCCAAGTCAGTTTGATGAGAACTTGGAGGGAGGGGTCTTGCAAGCCGCAGTGCTCCCATGCCTTCCCTGTCTTACTCCTCTGGGCACTCTTGTAAATAAATTTGTAAGGTGACAATTTAGTTGCGCAAAAATGCTTATATATGTATTCCCTTTATTGTAATCATTCAGACTATTGGCATTCGGAGCTAATGTTTCTGAATGTACAATCCCATAAGGAATGGCATTATAGAGCACAAATGATGTAATTATATTTATATGTTCCATATGTGGGATCCACAAAATGTTTTATATCGCAGGCTAGTGGTACGTCAAAGAATGCTATTGTGTGTTTGCGGGAAATGCTCACTTTGCATGCAATGCTGCCAACTTGCATTTTAAAATGATTTTATTGTAGTGGAGATTCACGTTGCGAGAGAAGAGGTTCCACTGACTGCTTTCCATCTCGCTCTTTGCCCCTCATTCACCAAAAAAAAGCGCCCCACATTCTAGCAAAGTTCCAGTCAATTTGTTCGGAGATATTATTACACATCTCTGGAGCAAGTGGGACTAACGCCCACATCTGCCGGTTCAGAAGCAGGGACACCCATCACTGCGCCACAACAGTCCCCTAAACTCCACTTTCTAATCCAAACGGGAATGCCCTGAAGACTACATCTTTTCTGAAATCGATCTAACCGGATTGACCCCGTCTGAGACTTTAGAGAGAAACAGTAAATCCAAACCTGCAGTCAAAACAGTATCATTTGCAGCTTATTGTGTATCGTTGCCTCTGTAGCCAGTTGTTGGAGAAAGTGTCCAACTCTCACTCTTTCCGCTCAGTGTAAACTTTATTAAAGGGAAAAAAAAATTCTGACGATTGAAATTCCTGGAAAACTTCAGTTATTCCGTTCGAGTGAAAACAAGTTTTCCCTTCTGAGAAAGGGATAGCCCCTGAGTGTCTTTCATGTTTTTTTGCTTCAGCCAAGACACAGCTCGGGCTGTTTGTTGAGGATGGTGACCCAGACAATGAGCGAGGGAATTCACTCTGACCCACCGTGTTTGCTCGCCACCTTTGCTGATCGCTTCACACTGTTACCTGAATTTGGAGGGTGCCCAGAACTCATATAGATTGTCACCCACTTTGAAATGGCCCCCACCCCTGACAGACACAAGCCTTTCCTATCTGCACCCCCGTAACTTCTCAAGACAAACGGGCTCCTGCTGGGTCCCTTTCAAACTCACAAGGAATGTGCTGTTAGAAAAATGAACGGCTGAGACGCTTTTGGCATTTATCATTCACTTCAGTCTCACAGTCTAACCCTTAGGGTTCACTACCTTCTATAAGCCCCCACTGTTAGCATTTGGTGTAAGATTCCCCTATCCTTGCGAAATCTCCGCCAGTTTTCCCGAAGATTCCTTTCACTTACACATCCCGGACTTCACCCGCGCATCTATCCAACCCTACCAAACACCAAACCAACCGACTATCCCACCTGGTTCCATTAAATCATTCAATCAACAGCCTTCAGCGTATTTCAACCTCAATACACAACAGCAGTATGAGGACTTCATTCGGACACGGCTAACGTGGCCTTCCCACCGAGCGCACAGTAATGGACTGTGTTTTGATTAAAAGTTACACGAGACTCCAAACGTTAACTCTGTTTCTCTCTCCACAGCCAGAACTGCTGATCTTCTCCGGCATATTCTTTTTTTTCAATTTCCAGCATCCGACGTATTTTGCTTTTATTTATATGTTTTCACAAATAATTCTTTAAACCCTGCTATAGTCTCCGAGTGTTAATAATACCAAGTATAAATAATAAAAGAAAATGCCAGTACGTGTTTTCGTATAGAAAATAAAATCAGATTATTCCGAAAACGCACAGCAGGTCAGTCAGCATCTGAAACTAGGCACAGTATCTAAGGACGGGCTATCCTTAACAGGAACGGAGAGAACCTTTCATTAAAATAACGCCGGTAAGATGTCGCACATTCTGATGGGCATTTTTACTGTTTCTAATGCAACGGTTTACGGCCCATTTCATTGAAAAATGTTTTTACAATTTCAACCCACGTGTTGCAAACGGAGCTGCTGTTTGACTGTAGTATCAAACTGTCTATAACACTAGTTGTCGCTGCACTCAGAGATACATTGTGAACTTCTTTTAACCCGCCCAGTCCTAACGACTTCAGTTAGTAACTTTACACTACTTTTTGTTGTTACAGCTGACTTTTCCAACTGCCCATTCACCCCATTGGAGCTACACTGTTTCCAAATCAACCTTTTTACTGATTTCAGGGGTGGAAGTGAACTCTTCGTGATCGTTTTAGAATTGCAACATATGTTTATGATCGGCCTGCCGTCGAAAGTGCTCTAAAAGGGAAAAAAGAAGATTTAAAATTCCATTATTCACTTCTTACCGTAGGAGGGGTTGCCGCCGATGAAATGACACAGGATTGCTAACATGAAGGGGGTGGTGAACATATTCTTCATTAACAGGCGCATGGTGACAGGGCACTTAGGGAAAACGAGCAAGCAAAACAACGAGGGGAAAAATAGTCAAAATTTTCTTCTGTAAGGTCAGAGCTCACTTTTCACAATGAATGTGGGTTGCGATTTCCGAACTGGTCCTTAAATATATCGATTTGATGGGCGGATAGAGCAGACGTGTTCCCGGGTGGGCGGGAAACAACAGCCAGTGAGGTGAGAGGCAAAACAATTTTTTTCTCTCTCTCTTGCCAACTTTTATCTTGTCTCAAACCACGCCCAGCGCCTTGGGTCTCAACCAGAACAAGCCTAGTCTCCGGCCAGCATCCAACCCAGCAAGGTCACCTTTACTATGCTCTGAGTCTGAGTCAATATTTCCTACAAACTAAACTCCGAGGGTGTGATGTTTACTGTTTGCCTACCCAAGGCTTACAAATGATTTCCCGATTTTCTCTCTGCTTGTATCTGAGGATTTTTTTAAGGGTAGTTTAGCTCTCCGCTTTTAACTGTATATGGAAAGGACGCCTTTCCAACGTCTTTGTTGAAATTTCAAGCAGCAAAGTTAGCAGCCCCAAGTAATAAGCTGCCGATCGTAAACATGCAATGTCGACAGGAATCTCTGCTTGCCTTTACCTCGGTGTTGAGTTGTTGTGACAAGGATTTACTCTTAGAATTGGTTTCACATGGTTCCCGGTTTCGCTGCTCTGATGAAATACTATCCAAATAGGTGACTGGGGTTCTGAGTATGGTGTTAACGCTGTTATTCTGCATGGGCCATTCACTCAGTATTCTCAGCAGCCCGTATGGCACAACGATAACAATGGAATCCAAAACAGGATTTCCTGAAAAATAAGTCTGACAATTTGTATTGTTTCACTTTCGTCCAAATCTGTGATCGAAAAGAAAACAGTACACACCACTTTCTTTTAGCGTCTAAACAAATTGATTTAGCTTTCTCCTGGAACAACCGTGTTGACAGCAACAGAGTTTATGAATCAGTTGTACTGTATTAAGCACAGAGGAAATTGTTCAAATAGCGCAGAAATGAGCATTTCTGTTGTGCCAAACGCGTCCTTAGTTACATCGTTCAGTTATTCGAAGTCTGGAATGTCAGGACAAAGTTTTAAAATAGCGACCGGACAAGTTAAAATGTGAGCGTCCTTCGTTATGGTCTTAGGGATAGCCCTGTCACTATTATAGACACTTCAAATAGAAGTGTTTTCATGTAATTAATGTAAATTACCAGGATTAAACATAAAATAGACTCGGAATCTGCAAAGATTCATTGTCATAAGTGTTCAATTTTATAAACTCTAAAACGGACTCAACCACATTAACGTATATAGACTTAGAATCAATATATTGTGCCCGGTTGTCTGGAAATTAATGGTACTTCAACTGTGTGCAATTGAGGCATCAGTATATTTTTCCATAATTCTTATAATTAGTGCCTTTCACGGCGTTGTTTTATATGAAGATAGTTGATTTGTCGTAATTCATCACCCCGAAGCAAAAGTGAGCTAACCCCGGCACCACCCAAACCCCTAGACTACTTGATATCTCGTGAACCCCTTACCTAATTCATATTAGATGAACTTCCTGCCTCCCTCATCAACTTAGTACAATGGATCCCATGCTAACTGTCTCAACCAAGTAAAATTCTGAACATCCTCCACAAATTTGGGTTTTCGGTTCCTCCCCTCCCCCATTAACTTGATACTTTATGAGCAGTGTCAGAAAAGAAGCAACAGTCCCAAAGTTATTTAAAACATTCATGTAACATTACACAAATAAAATATAAGGAATGTATCAGAAGTAATCATTCAACACTGGCATTCATATCACTGTTTCAATTGAACAGTTTGCAACTTGACCTGCAATCTTTCCATTAAGTTTCTGTGTTGTAACTCATTCGATTTCCTTTGCAAATTCTATACTAATGCAATGCATGCACAACTGCTATAGTTTTGTAGGGTCAGTAAATGGACACAGTTACTAAGTGACAGACGGTGTATGTTGGCACCCAGATACTTTTCTCATTATGTAACTTGTGTCAATAAAGGCATTAAATAAATTTGTTGGAACAGATATCGTTTTTAAAGAACACTGAGCAAAACAAAGTTCATTCTTAGATTGGTCAATAAGGTATACACTTCTCCCAGAAACACCAGCAGCTTCACACTGTAAGCAACTGTGTGCACCAGAGACGGTCTGCTATTCAACCTGTTATTTTAGGTTAAGGTCAGGTTTTTGCAGTTTGTTCTGAAACAAATTACCACATATGCAAGCAATTACAGCAGAAGGAAAATGAATTGGCGAGTATTCTGTTTCCAATGGTAGTGTTGTTTTTAATACCAAACTTCTAAAGGACTGCCATCGACTCACTCTGGGGCCCATGTTTCTAAAGCTGGCCTTTCTTAATTAAGACCATCTTTAGGATGTCTGCAAAGTTATGGTGAGAAGCACTGGGTGGGATAAAACAAAAGAGAGAAAGGGCTATAGTTACAGATCTTTACCAGTCTACCTCTCCACTATGATGCTGCTTTAAATCAGGCTGAGTTCACTTAGAAGGAGCCTTTTGAATGAAATATAACTTGATAAAAGGGAGAAAATAATTCCTGCAAATGTTGTTCATAACTCACAAGATGAGTCACAATTTTGACAAAAAAGAGGTGAAACAGAAAACTGAAGTGAAATTAAGGATAAATCCAGCACCTCCAGGCTAGGCAACTCAGTGGTGGCAGGGCTTTTAGAAATAATAGACGAGAACAAAATGAACTTGGATGAGTGTTGGTTAAGTAAAGAAAACCTCCTTAAGGTGCATGTGTTAAAGGAAAATTGTGTTAAACTAACTTGATTTTCTTTATATGTTGTTCATGTGGTGGATTTCCAAATCAGAATTCATAAATTGCTACATAATTGACTTGCCAGAAAGGTTGATGCTCTTGGAATAAATGAAGTGGCAGCAAGGATACCAAGCTGGCTCACTGACAGGAAACAGAGATAGTGGTGAACAGTTATTTTTCAGCATTAAAGTAGATAGAGAATGGTGTTATTTGTTTCATTTCAAGTATAATATTGACACAAATGAGGATGTAAAGAGCACAATCACAACATTTCAAAAATTAGAAATATTGTGAACTGTTTTGGGGAGGATAAGGATAGACCTCAAGAAGTCACAGGTGGGCTGGTAGAATGAGAGGACAAATAACTATTAAAATTGATATGTAAAGTATTTCATTTTGTTAGGAAGAACAAGGTGAGACAATATTCAATCAAGGATACAATTCTAAAGGAAATACAGAAACAGAGCAAACTATGGGTAAATGTGAACACATATTGAAAGTGGTAAATGTCACAACCCACTGGAAAAGTGCACTGATACTTGAGCTCTACTAATCCTGGAGTTGTCAGAAGAGTTGACCTTTTTGATCAAAATACTGAAAATCTGAAAATCTACAATTTATCTGTCTTACAGACTAAGAACAGTAAACTAACCAGGGTTTTTATATACAACAAGAAGCCATTGTTTATAACAAACAAATCAGTTCTAACCACAAGCAAACAAAAGAAAATCAGATTGTAACACTTAAACTCTACCCATCTTAAACTCTCACACCCATGTGGAGACAGACACAGATAAAAAAAATGTTATGGGTGAAGAGACAGGAAAAGCTTGGTTCAGTAGCATCAGTCCATAGTATTCAATGAAATGGATGTTTGCTTCTTTTGAGTCCTTTTTAATTCTGATTTTCCTTTTTCTAATTCACTTCAGTGCTTTACTGAGGTTACAGGATGGTTTGCATCAATGTGCCCGCGCAACTGCTTCAGAGGTCCACTCACACTGATTGGCATGCTGACATTCTGCTGATGTATTCAGTTCTGGTTTTCCCAGTTGCTGCCATGCATGAAGCTTGGAGATCCACACAGTGGCTGGAAAGATTAGGCATTATGCAGGTTGGCACAATAATTATTCAGTCTCCTAATCTTGGTTAGAAACAGTTTACCTATGGCAAATGGTGAGACAGAATTGCTAACTGTCTGCCAATTCCTTGTTACTTCTCAGCAAGGAGAGAGATGATGCAGTCTTTTTAGAGTCTGGAAGCTTTCGGTTCTTGTGTTATTCACACATAGGCTGTCCACTAGATTAGGAGCCTGTCAGAAAGTTTTTGTCATGCTGAACACGCTTGAACCATGTATCTAGTCTTGAGTGAAAAACCAATCAACAAGCCTACCACTGGAAAAGCTGCCCTGAACACATGCCCATTATGTGGATGAGTCCAGCACTCCTGCCCCACCACCGATTGGTGTGAGTGGACGTCTGAAGCAGTTGCGCAGGCACATTGGTGCAAGCCATCCTGCGTTCGCAGTCAATAACATTGTAAATACAACTCACAATGAGTTCCAGTAACTTGCTTTAAAACCGAAACATCTCCTTTCAGAGTTTCCTTGGTTTAAAGCAGTATCCTTTGCCAATTTTCATCCATAATCCAAAAATAAAGAAAAATAAAAAGCTGTGGTCTTTATACAGAGATAGTAGGAACTGCAGATGCTGGAGAATCCGAGACAACAAGGTGCAGGGCTGGATGAACACAGCAGGCCAAGCAGCATCATAGGAGCAGAGAGGCTGACGTTTC